ACACCCACACCCACACCCACACCCACACCCATTCGTATTATCCATCTTTAACTCCATTTTCTTTTACATTTGATGTTTGTATTATTGATATTGTGTTTGGTCTATTGATATTATTTGGTCTTGAACGAATCGATATGAATGTAAAATGTACTCATTAATTTTATGTATTCTATGTTCATTTGTGTGGCATGGCGAACAAAAATTTTGTATAATTCACAATTGACAGTACAAATCAATTTATTTTTGTCTATTGCTTATATTTTATTTATATCGAAAATCAATTTCTGCTAGATTGAAAAATTTATAAAAGAAAGAGGCAGATGTTAAAAAACAACAACGAATAATGGGTAAAATTTCATTAAAAGTTTTTGTTATACCAGCTATGATTTTAGGCATATTATTGGAATTACCACGCATCTTTCAACTGTTCGTATATTAAACACTTGAATTTTTTCTTTGGTTCTCTGAATATTCATGACGTTTCTCACAATTAAAATTTAACTTTTCAATTAATCTAAAAACAGATCGATCTATCTATATTAAAAAAAAGATAAAATAATCTGCCTGTATTCTACGTTTGCTTCTCGACAAGAGATTTTTTGTTTTGTTGAGATATAAATGAATAAAAGGAAATTTTTATTATGGTTTGTAAATATTACTCTGTCTAACAAGAAAATATCACTATTTATGAAAAAATGAATAGATTTTCATGATTGTCAAATAAATTAACTTTTCATGGAATTATTTCGAGAAGGAATAAAGTTAAAACTAATTTCTGTTTAATTCTTTATTTGATTTAAACACATATTTTCGATGCTGATATAGTTAGTAATGTATTTTCTCTTAAATGAAATATGTAAATATTAAAAGAAATTTATTCTCTTACAGTTGAACAAAATAAAAAAAAAAGAAAAATTAATTCAAATTTAACTGATTTAATATCATCAAGTAAATCAAATAAAAATAATTACGTTAATGATAAAATCTCAGAAAATGAATAATGTAATAATTGATGAAGATATTGATGATCAGTTCTTTTAGAGAAATTTTTCAATTTTTTATTTTTTTTTGTTCTCTTTCTCTTATTTGTTGAAAATATAAGCGTTTTCATATACGAATAGAAAATTTCGGCTCGTAGATGTTTTCAACATTATCTCAGTCTTGTTTGTCCCACTAGGAAAAAGTATGGATGTAGCTTAGTTCTGTTTTCGTACATCTGTACCCTTGTCTCAATGAGATTTGGTAATCATATATAAAATATCAAATAGTTTTATGCTGTAAGAAAAGTGATTACTTAAGAAAAGATTAGTTTTTTGCTTGTAAAAAAAAAAAGAAGTTTATATTATATCTGAGCAGAAAATTAATTTTGTTCTGTGTCAAGAAAAATTATTATTTCAGAAAACAATATAACAAATACTTATAGGTTCTAGAAAAAACTGTATATTTCTTAATATAGAATATCTCTGTAAAGTGAGCATTTTTGATGGGTTCCAATGGTGTTTATATTACAGAGGTTTGATTTTTTTATCTTTCATACATCGTATAAATATTTTATCTCTGCTATAGTGGATTTTTATGAGTCGTTTCAATTCATTGTTTTTATCTAAATCATATTATATCATTTTCAAATGTATATCTAATTGTAATTTATTTACTGAATAGATTAATAATCAGTTAATAGAAATGAATCTTTAATAATATTTTCTTTTTTCGTATGGATTCAAGTAACTGTTCGTAATTAAGGTACGCTAGGGTATGGTGTGTGCGAGTGATCTAATAGAGCATAGAACTACGAGTAAAATTATAGAAATACAGAAATAAGGATATAAGTATAAGAGTTTATGAGTAAACACCTCGGGTGTAATGATGTATATGTAAGATTATACTAATAAGGGTATGTTCAATTATTTTTAGCTAGATATTAAGTAATCATGATGTATTACATTTTCTCTTTTACTTAAACAATATAACTTAAATATAGAAAAATACATTAAAATATTAAATTTTGAAAAGCACATATTTTAACATGTTAAAATTTCTTTTTTTTTTGTTCATAATTTGACATGTTTTATTATTGATTTCATCAGTAGATAATAAAAGCAATAAATGTAAACTGATACTTGATACTAATTATGAAACATATCAATGTTGAAATTTTCCATGAATTATGAATTTATTCGATGTTTTATTCTCTATTCTGTTAGTTTGACTCATTAAATTAAGTCACGTTAATTTTCCATTAGATGTTTGTGTAGAGTTTACAATTAAAAAAATTATTATCGATAAATTTTTATTAAATTGTATATTTTATCAAGTATTGAAAGAAAAAGAGCTTCTATCTACGAAACTACATAAAACTTAATCAAATAGAATATATGAATAGACAGTTAGATTGATCGAGGATATATTGCTTTCTTTGCAACAATAAGTCTAGCCAATTTGAAAGAATAATGTACAATAATAATCTATAAACAAATTGAAATAGAACATTTTAAAAACAAAACACTGTCATAAAATACTTACTTCAAGCACGTAACTACAAATAGCTACAATGATAATAAAGAATAAAGTTATTGAAATCGTGCTAAGAATGCTTTTAATAGCATTAAAGTCGAGAGAGGCAGAAGTAGTTGAATTGATATGAGTTGAGTTAAATGATGATTTGACATCGACCAAGCTTAAAACATTTACAGCAACGCCAGTCATAACTAAACCATCAAATGCCAAAATCAAAATAACTCCAAGTAAAATGCCACCACAAACAAGTCCAATTACACCTAACCAAGCAAACTAGAAATGGATTAAGAATTCCATTCAAAACATTAAAAATCTCTTGTTACAATTGTTATGTTTTATTTGATAATAAAACAATTTAATAAAATTTCTACATTTAAGAGAGAGTCAATGAGATTATCGAATATTGCTTCATTAATAAAACTATCTTTTTCGATATAAATTTTTTTTTTGTTTATTCAATATTGCAATGTCTAAAAATACTAACCCTAAAATTTTAAATTCTGATACGATTCCTATGAGTAGTTAGTCAATATCAACTTTTGTCATTGTCGAAGATTTTTGTGAAAAAAATAAGATAAAAATGTTCGATAAAAGATATGTTGATATTCATATTTTTCGTGTTATAATATAAAAAGATAGAGAATTAAAAACTTAATAAAGAGAATTAGTTTCATATAATATAATGATTAACAATATAAGTTTTATAGAACAAATAGGAGTAATGAGGGTAATCATTGTGACTAGTCAAAAAAAGAAAAAAAATTTAACACATGTTGTGCAGTTTGTGCAGTTTTTTGTTCTCAATAGAATAGTATACAATTTTCTCAATTCAAACAATGACCTATACTGTCTGATTTTTTCTTTTATAGTTTTCTAATGGACAATAAATATTTTTCGATATTTTTATTTTTATTTGAGATTAATGCTAGAAGAAAATAAACATGATATTCCGAATCAGTATGAAAAACTACCTTGAACCATACATATTTTACTGGACATATATTTCTGATCAAAATTAACATATGGTCCATCACATTCATAATATATTTTTTCCTGCTTCTCTTTAGGTTAATTTTGATTGGAAAAAATTTTTCAACCAAAATACATATGGTTGAATAAAGTTTTTCATGTTGACTTATTTTCTGTCAGTATTAATCGAAGATAAGAAGAATCTCGAAATAATTTTCATGTTTTGTTAAAAAACTAACAAATATTCGACAGTATAAACAATCTTTCGAATCGAGCATAAAAGTTTTTTTTAAGATTTTGTGGAAAATGAAAAGTTTTTCGTCAACTTAAAGCTTCC